TTAAACTTAATTTATAAAACCACACAAGTTCTGAGCTTCTGTATCAGTGCATCATATATCGTCCTCTTTTATTTAACCAACGCATCATATACCGTTAAAAATGAAGAAATATTCTGATTCACAGTCCCAATCAATACAATTCTTTTAGTGCATTAAAAAAAAAAAAATTCAGTACAATTCTTTAGGCTATTCTAAACCGTCCGATCCATAATCATAGGATTCCCATTAGAATCACGAGGCACGCGTTGCGGCAGGTATTGGGACCCACAAAATCTGCAAGCTGTCAAATGCCACACCGCCTTATCTCCTACACCGCCACGCGCAGGTGCCGGTAGCCAATCCAGTAATTTAGGTTTCCGTACATTAATGACGCATTAATTTAAATAAAAAAAGATAAGTTCTATTTAAATAAAATTTTAAATTTAAAGTTTGTGAGTAAATAAATAAATATTAAAAGAATTTTTTTTAATATTGGATCTGACAAAATTCAATTTTAAATTAATTAAAATTCAATATCATTTTCGAATACAAAAAGAAAAATTAAGTCTTTATGCTGCTTACAATATTTTTTTACATATATTTATTAAATTTTTTAATTTATATATTTAATAAATTATTTATTTTTATTTTTTAAAAGAAATATAAAAGTTATTTTATTTAAAATTAATAAAATTTTTAAATAATTTAATAAAATTTAAAATTTTTATATTATATATTAAATTATTAATTAATTTAATTTTAAATAATGATGTGTCCAATTAAATAATTTTACAATAAATAATTTTTTAAAAATGTAATTACCAAACACTTAAATATTTTTTGTGACTGTATAATACAAAATTTTAACGATTGCACTTACAATATAGCACTAGATAGCATTTTTAAACTAAGTCTTATATACTTGCTCTTATTAAAATTTGATCATTATTATTTTTTAAATAAAAGCAATTTAATTTAATTGTTTTATTTTTTTATTTTAATATTAAAATATTAAATATTAATATTTTATTTTTATTTTAATCTTTAAAGATAAAAAAATATGTTAGGATTTTTTTATTTAATTATAAATAATAATAAAAATAAAAGTGATTAGTACATATCAATTTTAATTGTAAAAAGAAATAAAGTCTCAATTACATTTAAAAACTAAAACCTTAATTTAAAATTTAAAAATTCATTATTATATTAAATATTGAGACCTAAATTTAAAATTTAATTATATGTTCAAACATAATTAGTTTATCAATCTAAATAGAAACATTTAATAAAATTGATTTTTAAATTTTAAATTAAGTTTTAATTAAATAAAATAATTTAATTTAAAATTAAAACTTTAATTTATTTTGAGATAAAAATTGATATATATTTTTTTAAAATTAAAAAAAAAAAGAATCTTAAGTTTTGTAATAAATTTTTTTTTTAATAATCGAAAGTAGTTGCCAGGCGCAGGTGACGGAAGCCAATCCAGTAGTTTGGTTGACTGGTCAACCTGCTA